TTCCGGGCTCTGAGGCCGAAAGTTCCGGGCATAGCACCTGGAGTAATCGAGGCTACAGCTCCAGTAACAGGAACTTTCGGCCTTTGAGCCCAGATGGACGGCATGTCTATATAGCCCGTAACTTTTTTTCCCGGTGTAAATTCAATTCATGGATGAGACATAGACATTAGAGTCTTGCGCTTTCTGTAATTCAAATCTCCTGCAACGAAATGCAGCAATTTCTGAGAGCCTTGAATGATTAAAATGATTCGTTCGTAGGGTACTACCCTAGGTTTTTTCCCTAAAAACTTGGCTTTTGCACTTACTTCTTTTTCCAGTAACATGGTAGTATATTTGGCAACAACGCATAGAAGGATCCGCCGAAATCCGCGGATATGAGCGCGAGCCGTGCGCCGCATCTCGGGAAAAGTAGGAAAAAAATCACTTAGACCCTCCCCCTTCTCTTCTCCCACCCCCCTCCCACACGTAGGAAGGGCGAGGGAGGGGGGCCCGAGCACGAGCCCCGCGACATGTGAGCGGACGAAAGAGACATAGGCTCTCAAGGCGGCCGCACGACCGCAGCATCGTTGCGCGATCTCGTAGCAAAATTTGGAAGCTCCGCTTGAGGTCGGGATGATAATGATCCTGCAAAATTTTGCTGAGATTGTGATGCCGTTCCCACTGCCCACTCAGTGAAGAATCTAGGACTAACCGCTGACTTAAATCAGCTCGCGCGCGGTGAAGACGTATGTGCGCGCGAATAAGTGCTTCGACAGCCGAGAGAAGCTGGGTTTATTGAACTCGAGGAGATTTAACATGTAAATGCCTTGTGATTCGATTCATCCAATGGGGACTAGGCTAATGTACACGGAAAGATATAACCATGTATGTGCTACTCTCTGATTGGTTCATCAGCTTAGGGTTTTCATGAAGTTCTTAAGAAACCAATGTAAACAAATCTAATCAAAAGAATTTGTAGTAAATATCGAGGGAGGAATGAATGATGCTTTCAGGAAAAATGTAAGAGTGATTCTCGACAGTAATATTCATCAAAATTTGCTTTACAGCTGACTGAAGGTAAGGGGCATGCCTCCTGGCCGCTACACAGCCCAACCCACTTTGCAGACCCTAGCAACTCGCATCAAAATAGAGCGGGCTCAGGCATGTCTAGGAGCCATGTCTTATCAATGCCCGTAAAAATCATGGAAATCGACCCGATGGATCCTCAAAACGAATTGTGACTAAAAGTGAAAATTTTGGAGGTCCTCTGAGCTTATAGTAATGATTCCAGAAGTTGAAAATTTGAAAAAGTCCCTGCTACGTTTAGCCTCTCTCATCGACTTGTTTGTCCAACTGCTTCTACGGAACTTGCTGCGAATTTTCCACAAATTATAAAGAATTCACTCAGGAAGTTTTAGGTCAGAACGTTGCTTAGTTTTCTGGTAGGTAACAAAAAATGTAGGTAAAGTGGAAGAAATTAGGCATCCTCTAATGTAATTCGACCGATTCAGGTTTAATTCATTCAGTTGGACGTATTTTTGTGCAAAAGGAACTATGCCGCGCGCAAATTCAGTGCGCATATACCTAGGTAGTTCCTTTTAGTATTTAGGTTTGATCGAAAATCCAACATGTAACAATTCTATTGACTCATTAAGACGGAAAAAAATTAAATTGCTGATTCAACGATTCAATTGCTAAAAACAGTGAGTGCAATGTTTCAATGTAGATTTTACAACAAAAAAATGCTACTTTAACCACCCCCGTAGTTATATTAGTTCACAATGTGGTTAGAGTAGCATTTTTTTGTTGTAAAATCTACGTTGAAACATTGCACTCACTGTTTTTAGCAATTGAATTGTTGAATCAGCAATTCATTTTTTTCCGTGCAGCTTGGCGCGAAAATGTATAGCGGATAGCTAGAATTTGAATTTTCGACCAAATCATCCATCGGGTTTTAACAAAAAGTGATTCCACTAAAGAATCACGCAACGTGGCCTTCTCGGAAAAATGCCTCCAACATGATCGTTATTCATATTTGCATTCCAAGAGATTTCAGTCTTTTAGTGATGCAATATAAACATACTTTAATGAGAAGGAACTATACCCATTCTAACAGGAGTCCTGAGATCCGTAAGAATACATGCACGACAGGGCTCATATCACAATGGATACCTATAGTTCCTTTTGATTGAAAGTCCAAATGAATGACGTCGACTTGGATGATGGAGATGTTGCATGTGTGAGGATTTTCCGATTTGACTGTTCATTCCTATGTAAAAGTTCGCGAGAAAAACCATAGTGCCACTGGTTTTCCCTGAAATCAACTCCCAAGCTCAAAAAAAGCTCTCAAAGTTGAAGGCGTAATGGAGGGAGGCATACATTGACAAGGCTGCCACTTCATTTGGGGACTCTACAACTGAAAACACGGGAACTCTGCTAACGTATTTGCTCCCTATCTTTCCATGGAGAGTTTATCTTGATGTAGAGGTGGACTCTCCGGATAGCGTCATAGGCGGACCCAGCACTTTGACAACACCGGTTTGCCTCCATTTAAATTATGGCAAACAATCGATTCTTCTCGGAGCACCTGGCCCCTCCAAGAATCGATAAATTTCCATAGATTTAAATGGAGAAAAAACAATGTTGCTAATTTGCTGGATCCGCGAATGGATAGCGTGGGATATCCCCTCCACACTGAAAAAAAAGGATTGCTAATTCACCGATTTAGGGTGGAGCAAAATTTGCTTCACTTCGTAAAGCTTTCTTATCCGTGCACGGTGTTGAATCAAGTGAACGACTAGTACGAATTGCTACACCGATTTGCTACATCTGCGTGCCTTCATGCAGTTAATCTTGCATCGAGTGACTTGGAAGTGTAACTGCATATTTTGGTATTGGTACTTTGCGAACAGTAAAAATAGCTCAATTGTTAGGCTGAAATAGCGGAATTAACGGAAAAATAGCGAAATTTACGAAAGAATAACTAAAAAGGTAACAGACGTAGCTTTTCAGAGAGCATAATCACCTACACGCGTGTGTGTAAGTTATAGCTGGAATTTGTGTAGCGATTTTACCTGCATGGTTTGCACGTTCGTTTTTTAGCTACACCATGCCATGAAATACCCGCGTGCAAGGCAATTTCAGCAATAGTTTTTTTTCAGTAGCCTCAACTTTGAAAGCGTTTTTTGAGGTTGGGGGTTGATTTCAGAGAAAATCAGTGGGACCATCGTGTTTCTCGCAAAAATTTACATCAGAACCAATAGTCAAATCGCAAATTCCTCACCCATGCAACATCTCCATTCTTCAAAGAAATGTCTGAACAAGCTTTTTGCAGATCGCGTTACAGTTTTGAAGTCACGCCTCGTCGCACACTTTTATTTTTTGCGAGCGACTGCAACCGGCGCGAGACCGATGCTCGTCAGATAACTAACGTACACGAGTGCATGAGTCTCTGGCGATGTTGTTTTCCACCTTGTTTACGTTTGGATGAGATCCCCCCCCCCCCCCCCNGATTGAATCGAAATGAAGAGCAAGATCTGTCGGGAGAAATTCTCCTTGAGAGGATTTGCACCGGACAAAGAACCCCGTCCCCCACAAGTGGAGTGGACGAAGTGAAATTCCCGCACTGCCGCCAGTTTTGCTCCGAAAAACTTGATTTCACCGTCGAGTCGTCGGTGGCGAGCTTTTACCTCGCCTTCGTGTCGGCGTCAGGAACGAAGACATCATAAAGTAGACCGAGTGAGCTATGTAAAAAGCTCGGGGCGCGCGGGAATGAGAGTGAAGTTATAGAATGCGCGTAACAAAGCGTGTAAAAAGTTCACTAATCCGTCAATAATTATGATTTAAATTTTTGAGGCTCATCACAGATTGCACGTAAGGCTGCCGTACGTGCAATCTGTGATTAGTCTCGAAAATTTGGAAGCAGCCGATTTGCGCGAGGGTCGCAGAATTTCGCGCAAATGGGCCAAAAATCGCGCGACCTGTAACTACTGTGCCAGAAATTGAAAATTGTTTATTTTCGAAGGAATGTGGCAACAAGGTGTAGAGAACGAGGACTAGAACCCATAGCTGATGAGAGCATCCGAGGAGCGTGTACCTGTGGGTAATTTCTCCCAATCCAAGGTCAAGACTTCTAGCTGCAGTCCTGCCATGAACTTGATTATCAGTCGCCGAAATCACATCTATTAATTTAAATCAGATGAATTATCCTCGCAAAGAAATCCGGGATCAAAATGCCGAAGTGGAAAGCTTGTGGAATTCATACAGTGCATGCCAAAAACCAGAGAAAATCGTTTATGGTACATAAAGAACATGGGCTACAGATTTCAAGGCAAAAAAACTTAAGTGTCGGTGTTTTGCGGGACTTTCCGAACTTTTTTCGCTCGAAGGTCGCGTAAAGTGCGGCACTTTACACCCCGAATTTCTTTCATCAATTTAAGTATTCGAATTTTTTAAAACTTTTTTACTCGAGTGTCGCGTGACGTGGAACACTTATTTACACCCCGAATTTCTTTCATTCATTAAAGTATTCAAATTTTTTTAAACTTTTTTACTCGAGTGTCGCGGGACGTGGCGGGGCACAATCTTTTCCAATTCCAATCATCGCTTCTGATCACACATTGCATCAGCGGCGATTTTTCTACCGGTGAGTGTATATTAACTTCCTCCACATTAATTTCCAGTGTTGCCAAACAATTCCATGTTTTTATTTTCGGCTAGAATTCGCGCAAGTGCCTCTCGCGCAAAAGGGCCCTTTTTCACGACCCTCGCGCTAATGTCCTGCTGCCATCATGCCCCTTTTACTTTGAAAAGCCGCTCGTTTCAACCTACCTATGGGATTGTTCTAGTTTCCCTTTTTCCTCTTTGTCAATTCATTTCTCTGTCAATTTCAATGATCAGCCGGCAGAGAGTTTGCTTCGAAATTCTTAAGAACGCAAACACCCACGGGAAAAGGGAACGCATAGTGCAGGAAAACTCAAAATTACACTTTCATAAATATGATTTTGTCTGATTTCTTACAGGGCACGGCTGAAGGATATCATCGTGTTTCTGGGTGAACTTGACACGGAGAATACGGGACAGTACTGGGAGCCACTCCCTGAGGAGCCTTTCAGGATCATAAAAAAATTCGTCCATCCCAAATTTCAGTTCAAAGTTTCGCAACCTGACAGGTAAACCATAAATGGGAACATAGTTTCCATGGAGTAGACGTATTTCTACTGAATCAGGAACAGGTGCGAAAGAAGAGGTGTGCTCGTTAGTTCTCTGACCGTGAGAATAAGTGGGAATTATAAAGCGCCAGTGACGTCAGCGGCAACGACCGGACTGGCCGAGCTCAACGATGCCGGAATCACTCATGAGCCCTGTCCACAACGCTCTTATCACATGCCCATGGCTCATGAGTTGCCATATTTTGGCGCTTAGCCCCTTTTGCTTTTATGTAAGATCCCACTTCTCCATTTTACCCAAAGGAATCACGCCCACTTTTACATTCTTTCTTATGCAGCTCACCACGAGCACACCCCATCCTAGTCACACGTCTGTAGTTCCGTTTGGCCGAAATACGCTCTATTTTACTTACGCTTAGGTACTTATAGCTGCATAGATTTTTAAATTCAAAATTAAACTATAAACATCTAGCTCCAAACCTATCATCCATTAAGCAGAGAAAACCGCAATGCCATTGAGGCCTTATCGGTTGATT